TGTGTGTGTGTGTGTGTGTGTGTGTAGTATATATATATATATATATATATGTGTGTGTGTGTGTGTGTAGGGGGTGGGTGTAGGTGGGTGTGGGTGTGTTTACGTATGTGTATATTTGTGCATGTGGATTTTACTCCGATTCTTGGTGCTCCTCTGACTTTACATGCCCTGCGCTTCGCGCCAGATCTGCGGAGTAGGGCCTTAGAGCACTTCGCATAAAATCCGTTGGTCACGCTCTGCACTAATGCGAGCTTAGAGGGTACATCTAGCTACATAGCTACAACGGACATACGTATACACATGTTGTAGGTTGTATGTGACTGTACTCACATCTGTTGACTACCTATCCCGTACACTTCACGCCAGGCCTGCGAGGTATGATCTTAGAGCACTTTGCATACAACCCGTTGGCCATGCTCTGTACCACTGCGACCGGAGACGAACACTCAGCCGTGATAGCCAGCATGTCCATGCGGCACTGCCAAGAAATCCGAAATCTGAAGTCCATCAGAAGGTAACGTATTTTCATCCTCTTCCTCTTCCTCTTCTTCTTCTTTGAATCATTGCTTACTACGTACGCAACAAATGTTTTGTATTTTTATTAGTGTTGGTAAGGCAAAGATATCTAAAAATTAAATTATTTCGGTAGGTATAGCATATATGCGTAGAGGCATCACTGTGTTATAGTTAAGAACTGATTGTGCGTTCTAGTAGCCCAAAAAAAACCCCCTCGCGAAACCTGAAGTCCATCGAAAGGAACATGTGATTCTGCGCGCTTACTACTGAGTGTGGCGTATTTGCGTTTGGCTCTGGTATTGGCCGAGTCACCATATCCGAAATCTGCTGTCCATCACCACTTATCAAAACTACTGCTGCGCATGTGCCTGTAAATAGTGTGTGCAAATACACATGCTTGCATTGAATAACACCACATATCCGCTGGACCGGGCGCGGGTGCTCTGTTTGGACCTCTAAACGTGCACGTATGAAGCACACACTCGCACACCACGCCCTTATGTGGTATACCAAGTCTGCCGCCTGCAGGTGTATTGGATTTGGTCTCCATGCGGATCTTTTTAGGACACTTCACACAAGAAAATAGGACGCTTATGCAGAGGTCCGCAGCCGCTCCTCTAAGATATATTGATTTGGATCCCTTCAGGTCTTAAGACGCGCCGGAAAAGCAATTTCCAATGCGCTTTTAGGAATACGTTTCTGTAATTTCAAGTGTATTAAATTCAGTCGATAAGGAAACCGGACCAGTAATTTCCGACGCATTTAGCATAATGTAATCACTACTCTCAGGTGTATTGGGTTCAGGCGCTAAGACACATAGGACAGGATGTATTCAGATGCACATTTAGCATAGCGTATCCACGTTTGATTTTTATATATCGCAAGAGACACCCCAGACACACAGATGCACATGCTCACTCACACTTTAAATCCACATCTATTTTATAAATATCGCGATTCTCAGGTACATTGAATTCAGTCTCGAAGACACCCCAGACAAGCAGATCTACATGCTCACTAGCGATGCATACCTCAAGCAGCAGATAGAGCCCCTGGTCGAGAGCGTACGCGCGTATAGAATGACACTCGTGCCGATGCTGCGGTGCTTCTTAGCCGTGCTACAACTGGACCGGAGGTTCGGTACCGAGGATAGCGTGTTTGGCACGCGGATAAGAGATCTGTACGCGTCTGTGTTGCAGCAGAGTGTGTCGTTGCGCACCGAGTATGAACGCGCGATCGAGGTGCTGTGGTCCCAAAGCCCTGAGCAAGTGCTGCAGCTGCTGGAGACATGCATCGCTAATTTCGAGGGTGATGATGGCCAGACCGAGGGGGAAGGAGGCAAGGAGGTGTGTGGTGTAAGCTTGATGATTTGATCTGTGAGTGTGCCAGGCTCGTCTGCTGACGATGTGAGTGTACGTGTTTATGTTTATTTATGTATATATGTATATATATATATATATGCTCGTATTTGTACATATATTTGTAATGTTCTCGGAAGACACTACGAACCCGATACCTTCAGCAAGTTTTATACTTGCTGGAGACGTGCATCGCTAAGTTCGAGAGTGATATGGACCAGACCGAGGGTGGGGGAACGCACCAGGAGAGGTGCAGTGTATGTCTAGTGCTTACAATGTTTGTGCGGTAATATAGGTGTATGTACATGTGTGTATACACTCGTGTGTGTGTATTGTGAAGTCGTTTAAAGATAATGCTGGCTCGGTGCTTTGAGCAGACATACCTGGTGGAAGTGTACAGTGCCAACTTCGAGGGCAAAGTATCAGACGACTCCTGTAGGAGGATAGCTTATGGTGTTTATGCAATCGTACGCCCGTTTATTTCCATGTGTGTTGTGAAATTAAGGCCATGTATATCCTTCTATGTATTGCGGAACTTCACATATCTAGTTAATTCTCCACTCCGCCGTGAATATCTACAAACGTTGCGTAGATGTATTGTATCGCTATCTGTGCCCTACCGCCAGTGCCAATTTCATGAATAGTGATACTCAATCAGTCTTTGTCGATTAGCTCTAACTCTTTCCCGACATAAAATGCAAACTACCATCTGTCCCTGCCTTTTGCCAATATGCACTCTTGTAAGCCAACACCCACTGTATCAACCGGCAATGGATATTGGATTGTGTTGATTGAATATATGATACTGCTTCACTTTGTTTAACACCGGTCTATCCTTGTCGCACTACTTTCTGTTAGTGCATTGCGCGGCTAGGCTCTGTTCGTCCACC